AATGATATTGATGGTCTTTCCAAACTCTAGGTTCATGTGATAATGGTTAATTTGGGTTTATTAGAACAGGGATTTTTATAGTCAGAATAAATGACTATTTTATTTAATTTAATTTCTTTTACTCATGCCTGTCATGTAACAGAAGAGACAAATTAAGAAAAGGAAAAAAAGATTTTCTACAAAACAGTTATGAGATACCATCTTACCCCAGTAACAACTGCAAAGTTCAATAGGGCAGCAAACAGATGCTGGTGAGGTTGTGGAGAAATTGAAACCTTTTTTCACTGCTGTTATGTGTGTAAAATGGTGCGACCACTATCAAAGGCATTATGGCACTTTCTCATAAAGTTTGAAATGGAAATATCATTTGACCCAGCAATTCCACTACTGGGAATAAATCCTAAGGAAACCAGAGCTGCCAACAAAAAGATATATGCACACCCATATTTATTGCTGTATTGTTCACAATAGCAAAGAGACGGAAGCAACCCAAGTGCCCGTAAGGAAATGAATGGATAGAAAAGCTGTTATACATACACACAACAGAATACTACAGAGCACTGAAAAACAAGGAACTCATAAAATATTATACAAAATGGGTGACCCTGGAGGACACTATGCTGAGTGAAATATCTCAGTCACAAAGGGACAAATGCTGCGTAATGTCACTGTTGTAGAATGGGACTGACATGGGGGATGGGAAGAAACTAAGAAAAGAGGGGATAAATAACATATGCTGCCTTGGAACAGATGAGGCAAAGAACTGTTTAAAAGGAATACATGAGTAGGCATTATTTATATGACAACAGTCCAGATTAAAAGGTTCATAGCCAAATGGAAGGAGGTGGGTGGAAGGGAGGAAATTGTGCAACAATGAATGAATTTTTTTAAGAGAAAGGTAAACTGGGGCATGGCGAGGTAGGAAAATATGCAACAATGAATGAAGTCCAAGTTTTCTGTAAACGTTCATTAAAATCACAATAAAAAAATTGTTGATTAAAAAAAAGGAAAAACATTTTCTCCTAAATACTGAAAAAATATTGGTGGTTCCAGTAGAAAGACTCTGATTCATAAACAATAGCCACTTTATCAACAGCAGCTCAGACTTGCCCTATCCTGTGCCAAGCTCACAACCACCACCTGCTAAAACCACTATTGGCAACCCATCTCACGGAAGACCAGCATTTGCGAATCCTCTTCTTTTCCAAGATTTGTGCCTTTTTCTGAGGGCTGATGCCTCCTGACAACATCCTCGAGTATGTGAGAGGTATTTTTGCCTTCTTTGCACTTCCTCCAGGACAAAAATACTGTAATTTTAAAAAAAAATAAGTTTATAAAGTTTTAAAAAACTTAACTGAAGACAAACTATAGAAATTAAGTGGAGTAAGGAATAGTCTCAATCTTTGTCGGCATGATGTCAGCATTGATGACTTGAAATGAGGCATTCATGTATAAAATGCCGAGGACTGACTATATATTTTATGTCTGCATTTTGAAGTACACCAGCAGTCAGGAAATCAAAAAACGTATTGTGATGGGAAAGTCTGCTGTTAGGGACCTCTCTAAAGTACTCAAGAGCAACAGTGTCTCTCTGGAGACTAAGGTGCACCTGATACAGGCCATGGTCTTTGCAATCACTTGTTATGCATCAGAGAGTTGGACAATGACAAGAGAGGATAGAAGGAGAATTGACACCTTTGAGCTGTGGTGCTGGAGAAGAGTATTGAATGTACCATGGACTGCCAAGAAAACAAACAGATTCATCGTAGAGAGGATTAAACCAGGCTGCTCCTTGGAGGCAAGGATTCTGGGGCTTCGTCTGACATACTTTGGACATGTTGCAAGGAGGGACAGGTCCTTGGAGAGGGGCATCATGCTTGGGAGGGTGGAGGGACGGCACAAGAGGGGAAGACCCTCTATGAGGTGGATTGTTTCAGTGACTGGGGTAATCGGGATGGGTGTGTCAGAGGCCGTGTGGTTGGCGCAGGATAGAGCAGGGTTTAGGGCTGTTGTACGCAAACGACTTGACGGCACATAACAACAGCAACAACAACAATATTTTGAAGTGGTAGATTTCAGCTTCCAGATTGGAGGAGCACTATAAATAAGGGAGAATTTTGCATGGTGAACACCATGACTAAACAGAAGTATGCATCAATTACTGTTTCAAATACGATCGATGGTGATAAGATGGCATCCTCTGTTAATAGAATAAAGTAAAAAAACCATACTAAACTTCTGTGATGTATAACAGGATTGTGTAAGTGCACTAAAAGGAAACTAAGGAATAACAAAATGTTCTAAAACCAGAGAGGAACATGGAATGATGATTTGGATGGCAAAGTGATAACTATGAAAGACCAAGTGAAAGATTATAAATTTAAATATTCACAGTTAAAGCTGAATCATGTAAGACAAGGCTTCTCAGATTGTTTAAACAAATAAAACTCATCTGCAAGAAAATGGAAAAGAAATGTAAATCAAACTGATGCAAAATA